CGAAATAGGGATCATTCATAGATTCATTCGTCAGATTCGTCATAGATTCGATTCATTTGATGGCCGTGCCATCTGACCTACCAAATCGGTTGACCTGACCTACCCGGTGACCGGTGTTTTCTCACGCGGTGGAGCGACCGACGGTGGAGCGACCCGATCTGAGTTCCCGACCCTCCTTTGCTGACGAGACCACCAGAGGACACAATCGCAGACATGGAAGAGGTCCTTGGCAGATCGAACGTCGAACGTGTGACCGGGAATCCACCGGAAAGATTGGGTGACAAGAACGGGTCAAGGAAACCAGTTTTCTGGGCCGTCGAATCGGGGAACTAAGGAGCGGGCGTGCAAAATGCAGCAGTGAAGGAGATGAGGACGCAAAGCAAGGCTTGCAAAATGCCTGCCTCGCCACAATTTGCCATGAGTTCGTGGACTTTCATCACAATCACCGTCGGCCCATCACCTGCCCCACCACGAAGTAGAAGCGCAAGAAGATCAGCACGCCCCACATGTTTTCACACGTGGGCACCTCAGTCCACTCACGGTCAGCGCCCCGCTCGTTTCGCTGGATCCGTCGGTGGTGACCGCGGTGGTTCGGCGCTGAGGAGGCGGCGAACACACCGGCGAAAGCGCCTTTCTTGTGCCTTGGAGGTCGGGGTGCGCGGCAGATTCCGTCGAGGCGCGCGGGCCGGTCCGATCCGGTGCAGATCAGGTGAGCGGGCGTTTGTCGCGTCGCGCGACGGGGGAAGAGGAACACCATGGCCGGTGCCGAGATCCTGTAGATCCACCGGAGAAGCATCTCTTCTCTCCGCATCGTCGAAGCCCAACTTTCCAGGGGCCCGAAGCAAACCATGAATAATACAGGTTTTTACATACAAAGACCAGTGTTTTTGCTAGGGAAAACCAGGTTTTGGATGGTTTTGGATGGTTTGTGGTCGCCTGGTACGTACTACTTCAGTACTATACTTCAGAACTCTTTCTTTTAAAGTTGAAGCGGGAGTGAACTCCGCAGAACAAGAAGGAGGCCGCGTGGCCGACCCACACTGGGTGCTCCGGGCTTCTTGTGTTGATCCGATTTCGCGCCGCCCAGGACCTCGGTGGCCGTTTCACGGGAATGACCGACTTAGCGGATTTCGTAGTCGAACCTCATTCTTAACAATTGTTGGTAAGACAAAAAGAAATTCGTAGTGATGGCCTCCAATCTAATAGACATTCTTAGTGCTCTATCAGCCTCTAAGCCATACCTGCCTCTGGCTTTTGAGAATCACGCAGGACATCTGCGGAAAATGGTGTCAGGTGGTTCTAGGCCCTGGGCGCTTTCCACCAAAAGGCTTCGCTTGCTCTTGGGCGTCTCATCGTCACCTCGAGCTGAGAAGGTTTCTCGATGGCCCAGAAGCAGGTGACACTTTCTAGAGCTTTCTAGAGCTTTTGACACCGATCGAGAAGCCACACAGACGGAACACACATCCCACGGACCGTTCTTCGCCATGCGCTCTCCGCTTCCGTCCAGCTTCCCCGGGCGCACTGGGAGCAGCTCCTCCAGCCTTTTTACTCAAGACCTTCGACCTGGGTCGATTTCCATCCGAGAACACAGGGCAGTTTGCCAGTCATTCCTTGTTCTCACAAGCCTTCCCCTTCCAAAGAATGACTTGCTTCTCTGAATTCTTCTTGAACTGAACTGGTCCCGACTCCGGGAGTCGGGAGTCTATCACACTCGGCCCGCGGGCGACAACTCTTTGGCTTGGCGAGCCAATTCGTCGGAATCGATCTTCGTCACCTCGATCCGCTCGCCACCGTCACGGGGAGGACGGCCGAAGAGAGAGTGCAGGACCAAAGCGTCGTGTGACAAGCGCGGAGAGTTTTGGGGATGGGCATTTCGTGTGACCACCCGGTGGTGTGGTTGTTTTGGGTCCAAGGCGCCTAGCTGACAAACCTTCGGCGAAGCTCACGACGGGCCCGTCCGTCGCGGAAGACCGGGGTTTGGCTCGGGCCGCGGCGAACTCCGCGTCTCCCACGCCCGATTCCAAGCCTCGGCCGAAACGAAAGACGTGAAAGCAGGCTCCGAACGGTCAACAACGTGAAGGCAGACTGTCTGGAAGCACTAGGATCCGTGTGGGGTAGTTTAGCCACACCCCGACAGGATGGTCCTGGCACCAAACATCTCCTTCCGGATGATGGGAAGAGTCCCCGAAACAAGCCACAACCACGCACAACGGTTTTCTGGCCAGGCTGACTGGTGTCCCGTTCCTATGTTTTTGGTTTTCGGTTTGTCCTAAGGGTGACAGTACCAGTGGGGACCCCTGATCCGGAAATGGTGATCTCATGTGATCTCTTTAAGTTCACTCAGCCTCCAACCTACTAGCGATGGCCTCCAACAACAGCACAAAGTCGTTTGCCATTAGTTAAGTTTCTCCAAAAAATCTAGGAACCAAACCATGAGTTCAAGCGCTTCTTCAAGGAAGCTTCCCCTGCCACCCTGCCGGATCAGTCTTCGGAAGCGCTGTTCGTCTCTGCCATACCGCCAACCCCGCCCCGCCGACTGGGGCCGGCGGGCTTTCCTGCCGGGCGAAATTCAGCCGCTCCAACGTCAGCATGTCCGGCTCACAAATCGACACACTGGTAGCGGGCCTCGGAACCGTCGCGTCTTCGCTCTCGGCGAGCGATACGGGTCGCCTGCCGTCGCCTTGCGCGTACCGGCGGTGTCCCGGGTGTGGCCACATCGTGTTCCGCTGTCGTGGCCACTTCGGATGGCTTCAACCCAGGACTACAGAGGTGAAGCGTCCAAACCAAATGGTACTTGTTACCGAAAGCTTATGAGATTTTTCACCAGCCAGAGATTGGAAATCCAATGAATCAATTGTTTGCTGTTTTTTGGTTGTTTTTTTGCTGTTTGCATTTGCTGTTTTTTTGCTATCGTTATTTTGTTGCTATTTTTTTGGCATTTTGCATTTGCCTTTTTTTGGTGTTTTTTGGGTATTGTGGATTTGCTGCCTGACGCCTTTGCTGAGGAAAAGTGTTGTATTGTTATTGAGTTGTGGCTTTGGTGGGTGATTTCAACAGTACGTCCTTTGTGTTTGTTGCTAGTTGCCTTAAAGCGCGTTTGCATCCATGTGGTTTGTTCTTTATCTTTGCTCTTCAGTGTAAAGAACATCTGGGAAGGCAACTCTCATTTCGGAGACATTGGGACAGGCTGCCGCCCGGTCATCCCAGACAACCGAAACAACAGGACCTGCATTGGTTGGAAGGATTAGATTAGACAAAAGGAGGGATGGCCAAAACAACGCTTGGTGGAATTGGGGTTCCCTTTGGGAATGGCATGGGGGATGGCAAATTGGAATGGCAAAAAAATGGTAAAAAAATGGCAAATCCTCGAGTTTTTGCCATTTTTTTTGCTATTCCTGCAATTTGGTGGTTTACAGAGATTTGCCATTTTTTGCAACTTCAAAACTTTGGTTGTTTTGGTTGTCAAACAGTGTGCCATTCTTTTGCCATTCTAGATTTTCAGGATGAGTCAACACCACAGGGGATGCCAGGCAGAGTTTTTGCTTTATGTGGACGGCTGGTGTTGGGTATTCCTGGTAGTAGGGCCACTGCATAGGGCAACTAAGAACTACTACTGAGCATACATTGCATCTATATACAAGGGGGCTACAGGATTATTGCCATAAAGAAAAAGCGTTGCCACATGTTCTACTCATGATTTTTACATGCTCTTGCCAATGCTCTTGGCCTCACTGGTACAAGTGTGAGAACTCTGCGCTGCTGCAAGCGCTGCAAGCAGGGGAACCAAAAAAAGAAAAACATTGAAAAAAACACAGTAAAAAACAGCAAACAAACAGCAAAACAGAACGCCAAAAAAACAGCAAAAAAAGAAACAGCAAAAACAATGGGAAATCAGAATGCGTAAAAAACAGCAAAAAAATGCGAAACAATTCAACTGGAGCTGACCCAGTCTGTGGCTATAAACATCTCATAACCGAAAGCCTCAAGGTCGGGCACTGGAGGGATCTTCTTTTTCGGCCCTGGTGCTTGAAACGCGTGGGGCCCTACTTCAGGCCAGTGTAAGCCTGTGGGTCCAGTATATCTCAACCAGGCTACCGCAGCATTCGTTCTTCAATCAGTTTGAACTTCACGTTTGCCCCAAAAAGGGAGATTGGTCGGAAAGAACCTGAAGTCATCACAGTTCAGCTGGAAAGAAAGGCCCTCCTTTCTTCAAAGTCTTCAAGGCCTTTCGGCGCCCGTCAAAGCGTTGTGCGTTTGCCGCGTGCGAAATCGGCTCCCCGGCACGGCCGAAGGACCTTCCCCTGGAATGGGAGACTCGTGTTCATCGTCCATGGTGCCTCAGAGAAAACGACGGACCGGGGAAGACATCCAGACATCGCAAAGGCCAAACAGACCTGACATCTCGCAATTCCAGTTGGCTCAACGGCGGAAGAGTCCCTCTGCGCCTTCCGAAGCTTTGAATCAAACCCAAAAGCGTCCCTCAACGTCCCCTTCTACTTGTCCCAAAAACCAGTGCCAAGCGTGCGGCGCTTTGGCAAAGCAAAAGCTTCCTCAGTGAAAGCGGACTGAGAAAAGCGAAGCATCCTCCCCAGAAGAGTTGAAGAATGTCGAAGATATCTCTTCTCTTGTAGGACAAGTTAAAAAGACCGTCTTCCACTCGACCTCCAGATTCGCCCTTGAAGACCTCTTCCCACAGCTCGATCTCCGGCTCTAAGGTCAGGGCACCTTGAGAAAATCTATGGGTCGGATTAACCTTTTGGTTCGACCTCTTCGGTGTTTGAGCCAAACCGAGGCGTGGCGCGCGCTCAACGGTGTTGGACCGTCCCGAGCAAGCAAGCAGCAACCGCCGAACAGCAAGCTTGCAAAGCATCCACGCTTGCATCTATCCTACGACAAGCACCATTAGAGTCACTTCAAAGTTCCATCTGTGCCAGGTCACTTCGAATGTCTAGAGCTGGTGATTCTCTTTTCAATGGGCCATGGATATGCAATGGATGTGCCTCATTCGCATGTTGCCCCACAAAGGCTCCTTCACCGTGAGGCTTCCTGACGTCAGCGAAACAGGAAGAACATCCCCGTTTCTCCCTGATGGGGAAGAACGCCAGGAGCCCCTAGTAGCTTCTTGTTCATAGTAGAACGGCCAGGAGCCCCTAGTAGCTTCTTGTTCCTAGCATGACACGGCCTTTGTTGCAATCTTTGCAGTGAAAATCTTTGTGCAATGAGAACGTCTGACGTCTGAGACCAAGGCTTTTTGAAGAAGCCACCAGAAGTGGTGCTCCTCGGGCCCAAGAGAGCACGACTTAGTGGAGACCATCGCTAGTAACAAGAAGCTACGAACGTAGCTCCTGGCCTTACTACTATAGTAACAAGGGAGCTAAGGGCATCGCTACTAGTAACAAGGACGCCTCCTACATAGGAGAGCGCGAGGCCATCTGCATGTTTCAGCGGCACCTCACCGAGCTCACACGGCGTCACACGCCTCGGAGTTGCGTCCAAGTCCCTGACATGGCCGTGGCTGCAGGTGTCCCTGCAAGGAACATATCCCGGCTCGACCTGGCTTTGTTGGGCGTTTGGCCGTGAAAAAAACACACGAAACAGAAGAAAGAAGAAACACATGAAAACAGCATGGAAACAGTAAGTGTTGGATTTTTTTGTTAGGCTTTTGATTCCTCCAGCTTGACCGGGGTCCGGAGGTACCGAGGACGCGGCCTAATGGTCTCGTCCAATCGGTGACTCCCTTCCTTCTGCCGGGACTTGACCTCGCGTGGTGGACCGGTCCGGCCGATGGCTACCAAGCCTGAGGGTGTCCATCCTTTCACACATACACTGTGAAGACTCCTCGTGGGAGAACCTCACCCAGTACACAGCTTGTCAACAGTTGAAACAGGCCGTTTTCGCCGGACATGTGCAGTGTCTCCATGGGCACAGACGAAGACGAACCTCGCACCCACGACCATCCCCATGGCCAGCTGAGGCCCCCCACCGCCGCCATCTTGCGTCGAATGTGGTGCTCGCCCAAATCCAAGGCTTCCTCACCCTCGGTTTGTTCCGTGCTCTTCTATTCTCTTCACGAAGACCAGGCCGCCGTTCCCAGAACACCAGGTGTAATTGCGACGTTTTGTTAATTGGATAGCGTCCTTTTGTTACTAAGTAGTAATGGCAGGAGCTACGTTCGTAGCTTCTTGTTACTACTAGCGCTGGCCTCCAACCTAGTAGTGTCCTTGCTCCGTTCGTAGCGATGCCCCGTTCGTAGCGTCGAAATGAGACCCGGGGCGGCGGTGATCTGAGGCTCCGGTCGGTCGCCATCTCTAGGAGATCTTGGTCGACCAAGGGGAGAATCGGTTTCCTGACGAAGGTGCGCTGCGCTCCCCAGCCGAGGCGCCAGGATGCGAAGGTGGGGGAACTCGGTTCTGTCTGGTTCCTCCAATGTTTGTTCTTCAGGTCTTTCCAATTCTTTTTGGCACATCCTCTATAGAGTCGTGACCTGATCAACTGCAGAACAGAGCTTCACAAGACGTGTTGCCCTTAACTCAGTGCTCTTCCTGTCTTAACTCAGCCGAGAAAGCTAAGAATTTCCACCTGCAAACAAGAAACGACTTGGGAAGGCGCCTCAAAAGAGAGCGAGGAAGCTGCTGAACAAAATCGAGATTCTCGGACGTCAACAAAAACCAAACAAGCCATCTTCATGAAGTTCTACTCATCTCATAGGATTGTACGTCCGGATGATCACTTCGCAAAGACTCCACAAACATCGCTTGGGACGGTCAACACCCTTCAACGCAAGAAACCGCTGTGCCTGGAGCGAGGGACAAACGGGGTCCCCCTGCCCCCTTTTCAGCTTGAACCAAGCTGCACTGCACGAGACAGGGCTCTCAGGGAAGGAGACTCCCAAAAGAACAGCTTCATCCTGAAACACCAGTCATAAATGACGCTTTCTGCTTGTCAGGGATTTGGACGAAAAGACGAGCTTGGATGGGGGAGACGGACCGACCGCAGAGGCCCTTGGGCCTTGTGACGCCGCTTTCTTTCAAGTCCGGACACACGGGACCGATGTTTTCCCCCTAAGGGACCCCAAAAGCCCGTTTGGCCAAGGGTTGTGTAGACATTAGGTCACTTCGTAGACGTTGAGGGTGCCAAGGGTGATCCGAATTACGCCGGGTTCGCGATCGAAAGATCGGATCCTAGAACTTCTGCTACAGCCAAAAGCCTTCAAGTCAGGCTGGTGCTTCCCTCTTGCCTTGAAATTGTGAAAGGTCGAAAGAAGCAACTACTTCGCTCCGAAATGCCAGTGGCCTCCATTTCGCTCCGAAAACCACCTTTTTGGGCATCATGCCGCTCTCCATGCACAAGCTTTCAGCTGTGCCCAAACGCGTGGGGTTTGAACCCCATTCATAGCAAAAGAGGCTAGTGCTCATTCATGCTTTCTAGAAGAAGGCTGCTGACTTCTTGTGCTTCTTTTGGCTTCGTCGTTTCCATGCGTTTCCATCTGAATCTGAAAACCGTCTCTGACCGTCTCAGGTCGATCTTCGACTCTCGTCGATGGCTTCAGAGGTCGTCCCAGTCCTTGGTGCCGGTCCCGGTCCATCGGGTTCGGTGTTCGGTCTGACACCGGTGACCGCGACGGCGCGACTGCAGCCCAGCATCAATCGGCTCTTCCATCATGGGTACCATGCCCTGCGCAGTTCGCTCAGAGCAAGTCTTCAAGTGACATTCACCATTCACTCTTTCATGTGGTGATACATATATACTGACATATGACAATATGACCGGGTACGACCAGAAACTGGAGGGACACGGTATATCTGGCTGATCTCCGACATTTGCGAGTCTCAGAGTCGCTTCAAATGGCGCTTCTGCGGCTGAAGAGAACCCTTGGGCAACTTTGGGCACGTGGGTTTCCCAGTCGAAGTGACTGCAAAGGCACTGCAAATGTCATGAAAAGTGCAGCGATCCACAGTCAGATTCATAGCGATGGCCTCCAAACCTACTAGCGATGGCCTCCAAATCTACTAGCGATGGCCGATGGCCTCCAAACCTACTAGCGATGGCTTCCAACCTATGTGAGGATGTTGTCCCAGATCCATGTTTGGAAAAACCTCTATAGGCCCATCGAGTTCCGACCATCTCCCTTTTGCCCCCGACCGGGCGCGTAACCCGAGGCTCTCACGGGTGGGAAGTGCTCTGGAGGACCCATGAACTCCTGACGAGCAAAGCAGTGCTCCGTCTTCCTAGTAGCGTTCTTGTTACTAGTAGTAAGAATGCTCCGTTCGTAGCGATGCCCTTTGTTACTAGTAGCGAACATTGCTCCTAGTAGTAAGGCCAGGAGCCCCGAACGTAGCGTCCTTGCTCCTAGGAGCGATGCCAGGAGCCCCTAGTAGCGTTCTTGTTCCTAGTAGTAAGGCCAGGAGAGCCTAGTAGCTATGGTAGTTCGAAAGATACAACCCAAGTTCTTGGTATCTGTGGATGGCTATTTTCTTTTTTAATTGATGCCAATCTGTGCCTTTGTTCCTCTCAATTCCATCAATGCAGTGCAAAATCTTTCTACAGGAGAGACCATGAGCTGACAACAAAGGACTTTCTCGTGAACCACCTGAAAGTCTAGATGCTGACAAGTCACTGCCCTGTTCTTTTCTCAATCCCCCAAGCAACTGATCAGCCCCACCAAGCGACAGCCATGTTCTTCAGAGGGAAAAACCACCAACAAACCATGCCATCATTTCTCATCCTTCATCTATCCGCGCCTCCGAAACCGTCCAAACAACGTCTGTTTCGCGTCTCCGGAGGCATATGAGGAGGACCGTGCGGCAGGTGCGGAAGGAAGGGCATCGGCGGCTTGGCCAAAGCGCTGCTGTCTTTGTCTTTGTCTTTGTCTTTCTTCTTCTTCTTTTTCTTTTCACCTCAGTGGTTGACGGAAAAAGACTGGCCGGTGACGGCAGTGGTTTTCGCGGAGAAGAAGTGACGAACGGCACGCTAAACAGCGGCTGCCGCCGGTAGCGCCACCCCGAACTGCCTCGTCGAAGCTCTAAGTTTCCACCGAACATGGGCCTTCCCACATGTGTTTAAGATGAAGATCAAAAGCACACCAAGTCACTAGATAGAGAGAGGTACACCTTAAGTCACTAGAGACACACGAGACACACTCCACGCGTTGCCGAAGGTTCGCATGCATTCGCCGACTGGCAAATGAATACCTTCTTGCGCACGAGTTGCTCCGACTGGAAGAGCTTCGTGATCTCGATCGGCTCTTCCGGCCTGCGCGGCGCGACGGTCTCTCCGGTGGCGGGTCGTTTCAGCCCCAACGCCGCCGCCTTTGCACTCGGGGTTGGACCTCGGCGTGCGGACAGGCGCGGACAGGCGGGCGTGAAAAAGCCCGCGCCTGACACTTCAAACTGTGGGGTTTGCAGAAAAAATGGACAAAGATCATTTGATTGTCCTAATGAGATTTCCTTTAAGTTGGTGTTGTTTATTTTCTCTTTTGCGCCGGTTGTTTGCTCCAAAAGCTGCTGATGTGCAGGTGTTCTTGGTCAACCCAAGCTTAGCGCTTTTGGGGAACGGTCCGAGTTTTCAGTTCTCAAGCCACCCGCAATCTACGCTTGAACATCTTCTTAGTTCCAAGGCCTCAAGGCCTTTCAGTTCATCATCTTCCAAACTACCGCAAGTGTTGTGTTCAGTTCATGGGTGAACGTCATGTCATCTCATGTCATAAAGGATATCGTTTTCTTTTTTCACTTCCAAACGAGCTGCCCGGGCGGAGGCGGAGGCATGCCGGGTGGAACTCCGTTCCTGGGCAAACAGGCTGTACGAGACGGAGGCTCCAGTCGAGACGACTGGACGCGGTGTCCACCGGTGAAGCTTCTCAGGGGAAACGAACACGAACGTTTCTTCATCAGGGTTTGCTTACAACAATCTGACAAGCGTTTTCTTGCACGTTGGCAACATGCTGATCTTGTGAGGAGTGGATGGTGTTGATGGTAGTGATGACAATCAAATCGACCTTTGATAGCGACTTGTCTGCAAAGAGGAAAGGACAGCCCAGCTGTGTTGCCGAGCAGTGACGAAGGGTTGTCCAAGCAAACACTCAGGTACGGCATGAGATGAATTGATTTCCCTTCGTCTTGGCCATCAAATCCTGTGGGTTTTGGAACCCCCCACGAAGGGGCCCAGGCTTATAGACAGCTCGTCTAGGCTCGCTCGGCATCACAAGCTAAGGCACGGGAAGGGCGGCATGTGACCTGACGCGGACCCCGGCAGGCCGCCCGAAGACCGGGGGTGGGTCGAAGGTGAGCTCGTTGGGAGCTCGGAGCAACACAGATCAATGGAAGCTTGGACTTGGACACCCTCAAGAACAATGCAAAACATTCGGTTTTCTTCTGATTTCTGGTGAACAGTGTCTTCTTTGGGGACAAAACCAACAGCGCCTTGTTCACAGCTTAAAGCTGCCATGCACGTGTGGGCTCATACGGGCTCGTCGGTAGGTACCTACCGACCCTGTCTTGGCAGCGTCTAGGGCTCTTTTCTTCGACAGTATCCGGATTCCAAGAGCGTCCCTAAATGGTCAGCATGGTTACCTGATCCACCTTTCCTTCCCTTCATGTTCATGCAAAGGCACTACCCCTCAAAAAGCAAAATTCCAACTCTAGACTCTAGACATTCTCATGGAGATAGACAATTCAGATTTTGTTGGAACAAGGACGCTACTAGGAACAAGTGCATCGCCACTAGGAGCAAGGGCCTTACTAGTAGTAACAAGAAGCTAACGTAGAAACAAGAATTAAATTCCATCCATTCCACATCAGATTTTCTTTCTTGCTTCCGGACCTTTTGTGCGTCCCGGCGGCCTGGTGGCATGGTGGGTGGCATGGTGGGTGGCATTCCGGGTGGCCTCAGGCTCGTCAAAGGCTTCCGAAAGGCTTCCAACGGCGTTTCTTTTTGCAAATCGGGATTGTTACGTAGCACAGCTCAAAGGAATCACTGCTTCACGTGTGGTTCTGTCTGCCTAGAACCAATTCTGTAAACGTTTTCATCTAAATGATCATTCAAGATTTTCTGCAAATCTTCCCTTTTCGTGCTGTCGACATGTCGGATGATCCATCAGCACATCATGTCGCACATCATCACGCACGAGGGGAAGGTGATTTCAAACCAACTGAATTGCGATATGGGCAAATCATGGGCAAATCGGTGCTGGGGCAAGAGCATTCCAGGCATTGGCACCATACCTGGCCTTGGAATGGCAAGAAAGCGATACAACGCAGTCACGGTGTTTGAAGGGGAACAGTGGACACCCAGACTAATCATGCTCCGCA